CAAATACGTTACATCAAGTGTTATCATTAAGCATAATTTAGCTTACAAATTATACGTAAAATCGAAAACTGAGATAAAATCGAAATTATAGATTAAAATCTGAAAATGATAAGATTTTAAGGTTCATATTATAATTAACATTTATAACACAATATAGTAATAATAATGCATATCCTGGAAAATAATTAACCACATATCACTTAATTACTTCTCAACATAGGTTGTATGCTGAATAAATATAAAGAACCTTGTATGTTTGTTTTTGTACATGAAAAACACACAAATAAACAACGTCAAACCTCATAAGAATCACTTAGAGTAAATAGTTAAGAGTAAAATATCACATGAAATCGGTAGGATCAATATTAACATCTACATCCTCAACTTCATCATCATCACCCTCATTATTAGAACAAAAGCGAAGATAATATATGAATGAATGGGGATGAGTGTGGGGCCGGATTGTAGCAGAGGGAGAGATGAGACGGATATCACGATGGAAGGAATTCGACTGCATGAGAGGAATAGATGAATCGTGAGGAAGTAGGTCGGTTTCAGGAGAGGAAGAGATGCAGACTAGAACAAAAGCGATGTGTGGTTGTCTAGTTGTTGGGTTGGGATTTGCTTGATGTTGAGTCAGATTCGATGAAAGGACTTAACCTGATTCGTGGCAAAACCCAACCCAACCTAATTTTGCTTTAATTGTAATGAACCTTGATTTTAAAGATTTTAATCGGGATTTTATGATATTTCAAGGTTCAAAGATTTTTATATTAAAATCAGGATTGGAAACACAGTAAAATCATAAAATTTTAAGATTAAAATTGGGATTTTGACTACATTAATCATATGATAGAATGTATATCATATCTCTTACCATGTCCATATTGCGGATATTTGATGGATATCCGTATACCCATGAATATGTTATATACCTAATCATTATATTATTCCAAGTCACCTACCACCTTGTAAAAACTCCAGAACTTTACACAGCTCCAACAACATCCTAATCAAGCAGAGTAACGGAGCTTGAAAGAACTAAAAAGACAGAAAAGTACTCTGTTATAATTATTTTTCACTGAAATTCTCGTAAACTCTTAATGCCATTTGTCGTTTTTCCATAAATGGTAAAAAATTTTGATTTTGAGAAAAAATATCATTTAATGACGGGTGGAGTTTTTTTTATGGAAATCTGTATTCATATTATTAAAAGATCAATTTGGGCCAACTGAAGCCCGGCCCAAATCGGCCTCCAACAAGTAAAGCAGAGAAATTGGTGGTTCATCCACCCAAACAATCTGGTTGTTCCAAACCCCAACCGAGTGGGCAAGCAATGAGCAACCCCATTCGCAGAGCGAGATGCGAAAATCCATTTCACCTGAACACCAGACATCCTCGAATTAACCTCAGCTGCACTTCGAATCTCTTGACACCAAACTCCCAACTCCGTCCAATCTTCTTCCCCTTCATTCAATTTTCTAATAAGAACCTGGCAATCCGATTCCACAATCAGGGGGCCAATTCTCGTATGTTAGCTTCCCTTAGCGCCATCAACACCGCTTTTGCTTCAGCCTCGATCGGTCTGCATCTCCCTTCTTCTTTCATCGCAATGGCTCCCCTAAAATCACCACTCCAATCATGAATAATGGCCCCCAAGCCAATTCCAGATTGATGAAGGAGCCCAGCATCGGAGTTGAGCTTAAACACCCTTTCGGCTTTCGGCGGCCTTTTCCAGCACTCTGAATCGGATCTTCTTCTGCATGGACGACGGTGATGATTCTGGTCATTGTTCGCCTCCAGAAAGGATTCAAGCCAACCCAAAGCCCGTGGGATTCTCTTCTTCAGGATCATGTGATTGTTGTTCTGGTGGTTGCAGCGCTCTTTCCACAGGTACCACAGCACCGCCCCAAATTCCTGTATTGTTGTTGATCGAAATTTTTCCAAACCTCTTTAAACCATTCAAGGCACGATTTTCCTTCCCCTATCTCATACACTTCTTCTCCTTCCCATCCCTGCCACTGTTCCTGATCCAGTTACACTCCCGCAACCATGAATCTGATTCTCAGGAAGTCCACAAAAGGGACACTCCAGGCTGATATCTTCAATCCAATTTGCCAGATTACATCAAACCGGTAAGATATTCCTTCCTGCCTTCCATAGGAAATACGAATCTTGGGTGGGACATTGAATTTCCATAGTAGCTTCCAGAACTCAGAATTCTCTTTAGACGACACATACAGATTATGTTGTTTAGGACACTGCTCTCTTAATCTGAATTAGGCTGAGTTAACTGAGTAGGTTCCATCTTCAGTATCCATCCAGATAATTCTATCCTTCCCTAGAGGAAATAGGGAGGGATTTTGAAATAAGCTCACATTCTCTCTTTGAAAAGTTCTCTCTCATCTGGTTAAATCCCATCCGGCCCTTTCATGATCCACAAAGTCACAAACTCTTTCACTTGAATCCATCCCAGATGATTGGGGATCAGCATGATAGAAACTCTATCGTGAAATCCAAGCATCATCCCAAGCTTTAATGGACTCCCCATTACCCACTCTCCAACAAAAGCCTTCCGCCATTCTTTTTTTAGCAGCCATGATGCTTTTCCAAATATAGCTAGGTTTGTACCCTCTTTGCCATCAAGAATGTCAGCTTTGGGAAAGTATCTTGCCTTGAGAGTTTTTGCCATTAAGGACTCAGGCCTTTCCAGTAACCTCCAAAACTGTTTCCCCAACATAGCTAGGTTGAAGTCTCTTAAGTTTCTAAACCCCAAACCTCCCTCTTCCTTAGACTCACAAAGGTCATCCCAGTGCAGCCAGTGGATCTTGGTTTCCTTGCCCTTTTGTGCCACCAAAAGTTTGAAATCATGCTTTGAATCTCTTTTAGAGTGCCATCAGGAATTAGGAAAACCGTCATAGGATATAAGAATGGAGGAGGATTGGGTATAAAAAAAACATGGAGTTGAGGGGATTATAGGATGGGCTAGAAAAGTGAGAATGTAATTTGAGAAGTCGAGATGCCGATGGGGTAGTTGGGTATTGGAGTATCAGGCAGGTTTAGGGCGGATAATAGAATATCGATACTCTGTTCATGCCCGATAACTAATTAAACTTGTGAAGTTTGCCCGAACCCGATCCAAATCCGATCAATGTGTGATTTGCATGTGCTGACCCATTCGAGTTTGGGTAGATATCTGATTCAGTGTGCATTTATGCCAGAACTAATGCTCTTTCGTATAAAAGCTTTCATTCCTCTAAATATCGTGTATTTCACCTTTATATTGCTCCAATCAATGTGGGATTTGCCTGTATTGACCCATTCGAGTTTGGGTAGATATCTGATTCAGTGTGCATTTATGCCAAAACTAATGCTCTTTCGTCTAAAAGCTTTAATTCCTATAAATATCGTTTAGTTCACCTTTGTATTGCTCGATCTCCGGTCAGGCGTAGTTCTACGTAAAAGAGATTCTGGTTATGACTTGTGAATCAGGGGAACATAGTAGTTAAGAATGTCAGCAGTATGCTGCTGGTGTCTTGGCAGAGCAGATCAGGGAGGATATCAGGCTGTACACAGTGGCACGCCCTGATTTTCAACTCCTCTTGAGCAAAACTGTTACTTGCTGTAGTTTCTTAACAGTGTAGGAAGTTCTGTTTTTGTTTGGTATTTTCCTTGTAAGGGACTATTGTGGGCGGTTTTCCTGTGTGTTTTTTTCGATCTCTTGTGCTAGTTAAAGCCAAGAGTGAGCTTCAATGGTAAAACAACTTACCAAAAAAAATATTTAATGATGCATTGCTATTTTCCTGCTCCGGAAGTAGTTCTCGTGTGTTAGGTTGCTCACTCGAAACTGTGTCTAGTTTGAGCTAAGCTAGCATATGCATATATGAACGGAAATATAAATAAAAGCTCCATAGTCCCAACTTGCCATCCTTTTTCATAGTGGCCACTTCCTATCACTACGGAAAATATGACTTCTTGCAACACCGGGATCGCAACACTATTTAAAATTGAGTTGTATTTTGCATCAAATTGATTATTTTGGAGTATTATCTTAGTATTGTTCGTAGCATGATTGTTGTAACGCCTGGAATAAGAACTTATTTATAACCAAATAAATGTTACAAGATGTCACTTTCATGACAATAATATTGTCACAATATGAATTTATGTGTAAGCTACCATCACGATTGATATATATTCGTGTCATCAACACTTATCACAAAAAGAAGCAAGGGCGACAATTTCATTAATTATCACAAAAGAAAATTATCGATGATAACTCAATGCATCACCAATGAGACATTTGGGTGACGACCATAATTGTCACCAACCAAGCCCATGGATCATACATGACAATATAATTCGTCATAAATACTTACTTCAGTGACAACCAATCTGACTACTGGATCATTCGGTGAATTTCGAAAAGTGTGTTTTTGATAAAATTATGGTCACAAATGATAAATTTTTGTGACAATTAAACATGTCACAATTGTTGTTTCGTGTTGGCACTAACTCGTCACGAAAAAAGATTTTTGTCCACGACAATGTTGTCCAGCAAATATTAGTATTTGTTACGAACAAAATTATCACACTTGGGTCATTTGTGACGATGTGAACTCGTCATAGATAAAATTTAAATGTTACAAAAACTTGTAAAGCTGTAGCCTATGTTCCTAGAATGTGTTAGGAAAATTTGGAAATGTGTTGCATAAAGTGGTCTTGCATAAAAGGTAAGGATATGCAACCCATTTTATTTTGGTTGCGAAAAATAAAATATGAGTTGCCTTTTCTTTTTGCAACCCCCACTATATGCAACCCTAGTAAAAGTGTTGCGCTAGGATCTTGCAACTCTTTTAAGACTTTACGCAACACAATTTTGGAGTTGCAAGAGGCCATTTTTCCCGTAGTGAGGGTCATTTGTCATGGGAAGCTGCAAGCTAAGCAAGCGTATGGGGAGGAAAATGGAGCTCTGATTCTGAAGCACTACTTTCTGAAACATGGCATGGGCAAATATTTATCTGAGGTCATCGTTGTTCGTACTTGCAAGTGGTTCGAGCAACGACTACACGGGGATACAGGGGAACTTCCGCTTCCCCCCGCCGCTCGAGCGAATGAAGGCGCTCATTCCCGATGTTTTCGCGGCCATGAATGCTTATGTCAAAGCCGGTTGCACGGTGAGCAATGTTCACACCAAACCGGACTGCGATACCGCCATCAAAGCCATGGTCGTGCTCCACAATCGACGCCTCCGGCGGCTGCTGACCGAGTTTCCCGAGGTATGCATTGTCTACATACGGCGATATGTGGGTCCCCCAGGGCGCCTTATTGTCGAAACCCCAACGAGTACATGTTCTGGGACAACCAAAATATGACGGACCGCTCTTATAGTTTGATGTCCGAGGCGTTCATCCCTCAGTTAGCTGCTGAACTAGGATGTGGTGGCGGTCATCAGGCAAACAAGGGGACAAGTTCTACTCTGCAGTGGCAACCAAGCTTGTTGTGCAATTGGCATGTTTTTTCGTTTTCTTAGTAGTTATGTTTCGAAAAGTGCTACTTAATTTTTTTTTTTTATCCAAGATAAGCCCCTAGGGCATGGTCGGACAACAACATTATACAACACAAAATAATAAAGAACGGTAGTCCTTATGCAACCGGACTCCCGATAAAGAGCCTGTTATGCCACGAGGTGGCCAGCTCTATGAAACTCCGAGGAGCAAAATGACACGAAACTGACACAGGGAGTGAGAAAAGAGAGAGGAACACTTCCCTCATTTGGAGTCGGCGCTCGGATGGGAAGACTTCCTCCCTGAGGCATTGATAGACTGATGAGGTCGATTGCACTTCCTTCATGTATTTTAACTATGATAAGATTCCCCTGCAATGCAGACAACCCAAAAGGGATCCAAAGTGCTAGAAATCTCTAACCAAAGATAATAAAATTTATCATTAAGACTAATCGTAATAACTGGAAAAACCACACCCATGACTCCATTACATGAGGCATCCAATAATTCTAATAAGAAAGAAATTAATTAAATTGAACAGGATAAATTTAACGCACATAAAGTTCAAAATGAATATATTATAATAGAAAACTCAATATATTGAAAATTAGTAAGAAATGCAAACTCCCAATTTGAATTGAATCAAACTAACATAATAAACCGGCAAAAGCAAGGTAACATTGATTCTACAATTACAACAAGTAAACGAAGAGTTGAAGAAAGAGACAAAAATCCCACAATTATGAAAAGTAATGATAAATTATACCACAGTAGAAGGAAGGGAATGAGCATAAAAGGAGGAAAGTAATGAATTTAAATTGAATACATTGAAGCCACAATGTTAATTCTGACTTCAATTTAAACTTGAAAATAAAATAAGCACATTTAAATGGGACCACTTAATATCAAAGAAATAACTAAGTAATCAATCAAACTTAATATCAACGCAAGTAAATGATCCTAATTAATATAGGACTAAATAAAAGGCGTCACTTACTCAATTAAAAGGGACAACTTCTTGAAATCCAAAAAGGAAACACGATAAGTTATGGCACAACTACCAGTGCACTGATACAACTACCAGTGCACTGAAAAAAGGAAAGTAATTAATATGTGTTTTTAATTCATACAGATTATTAAATGCAACACAAATTAATTACCTTAAAAACCTATAATTAATAGGGGTTTCATTTTTCCAACCCTTTTATGGGTAGGCATGCTATCTCATCCCAAAAGACAACAAAGAAAAAGGAAGGAGAAATAATTTCAAATAAGTTTTACGTTACTTACCTAAAAAAGCAGCCCAAATTCAGGCGTTGTTACTGAATGGAATCGGGGAGCCATCGGAAAAGTAACCGGAGGGAAGACCACCGGATCGGAGGTTATCTCATTCTGGTGTTGATGACAATGGCGAAACTGACGTGCCGAACAATAGAGGAGACGCCATGGACCATGAACGAGTTCAAACTTCCAAATAAACCACAGGTCCAAATAATTGGAACATTAAACTGACGAAAAACGTCAGATAAACACAACGAAGTGTTCGTGATATAGGAACTCAGGTTTGGATAACCAGAGAGATTACCTGACTCTAAATCAAATCCATCCAAAAGGACCTCGGACAAAGAGAAACAAAATGAAATTGAGGGACGGAACAACCAACCGTAGCGGCGATGGATCTCTCTCTTCCAATTCTTTCGTTGAATGAATTTCTCGCTGGACCTTCTCGTCTCCTGCTCCGTTGATGGCTGTCGAATCGCTATTTGGTTGAGATTGATCAATGGGACTTGACCGTTGCCGGATGTGTTCAGAGGCGTGTGTCTGGAATTGGCGATGAATGTGACAGTGAGGGAACTCAAAAGAGCTACTTAATTAATTAGTTACTATATTTTTGGCCCGCACTTCGCTGGGGTAAGAAACTAATTATATTCAAAACTTCATTTATTTAATTAATTATTTAGTTGAAACTAAATTATCCATAAAATTATTTAGTAAGATACCTCTATTAATTTTATGAAATAATTACACTTCGGTAAGCTTTATGTTATGTTTAAATCTTTAAGGAAGACTATGTAATACTTTTGTTTAATTAATACATAAGAAATAAATATATCTTAAAAGTTTTATGTAATATATTTTAATGTATTGCATTGATGTAATTGCGATAGAATATTGTTACATAAATATTACATAATACAATAAATTAAAGTTATAGAAAGTATCATATTCATATTTGATTGGGTATGCCTATGGTGACATGCATGTCATAATAACTTGCATTTTTAGGTTGACCTTATATAGGATTAGGTCGATCTAATATGCCGTTTCATTTTTGTGAGGTTCAACGATGCGGTTGGCTTTTTATAGCAAATGGTCGACCTCTTGTGAAGCCCATGGATGGCATGTACGACTACATGGGCCAGATTTCCACCCAGATGACTGGCATGTACGACTACATGGGGCAAATGACCACCCAGATGAGCACACTGCAGGTGACCGTGAATGAGATGCGAGATGAGTTTCGATCTTTCAGTGGAAGATACATGCATGTCAGTGTAACTTCCGACTACCATAATGCTAGCAACACCAATGAAGAAAATGTGGATGAGGGAGAGAGGGGTCAGGAGTAGGAACTCGATGATTTTAGATTGTGTGTTTTTATTGTTAAGTGTTAAAAACGATTGTGGATTGATATTATGTGGTTTTAGATTTTAGTTATGTGTGAACAATTATGATTTATGTTTTATTGTATTTCTTGTTAGTTTGTTTAGTTGTTATGTTATGAAGTTATGAGTCCTTGTTATCATTATTTATGAGTGATTTTGTTTGTTTGAAATGTAATTTGTTCGAGCAAAAGAACCTCCCACATCGCTTCCCAAAGAGGTCGACCATTTGCTATAAAAGGTCAACCGCGTCGTTGAAACTCACTAAACTGAAAGTGCAGATTAGGTCGACCTAATCCTATATATATAAGGTCGACCTAAAAGTGCAAATTATGATGACATGCATGTCACCGCAGCAAAGTCATGTTTGATTACTGTTATGTAAAAGTTAATTTACTCACGAAATCTTAGCAGAATGCAAATTAATGACATGTTGAATATTAAAGTTAATAACAAATGAATTTCAGTTAATATTTAGAAAATAGTGTTACATAAATATTTTGTACTATGGTCTAATCATAAAATCAAGTTAAAAAAATATCACATGTGATTAAGATGTTATGTAAAAGTTAGATGGCCTTACGAAATCTCTATGTAAGTATTATCCCTATTTAAAATTCATGGATTGGATCATGTCGATTGGTGGATTGATCAATGAATCCAAATGATATTCAAGTCTTGAACCAATGTAAATTTTGAAAAGGTTAGATACTAAAATATCATAATAATAAAAAAATTAGGTACCAAAACATAATTTTCTAATACATTAAATGCATATATTAACTAAATAAGTACTAAACGGTAATTGCCAATGATCCATGATCCAATTCGTGAATTCACCAATTCAATTGAATTTTGATTTTGATTTAAATGAACTGGATTAGTTATTATATCTTTAAGTTGACGAATTGAATTATAAATTCAACTTATATATTAAAATTTGATGAGGAAGCCTTTAAAATTAGATGAGGAAGCCTCTATACGCATGCTTGGGCTGAGCTAGCACTCAAATAATAATGGAGGCTTAATGTTTGTCCAGCCCAAAGTGATTATTTGCGGGTGTCGTAGCAAATCCATTCCCAAACATCCCGCGAATATATCGTAATGAACAGTGACCCGGAATTTCCGCTTACTTACGGGTTAAAGATATAATAATAATCTATCAACTGTAATGCTGTATGTACTCGCAAGGGTTGATTGTGAGGTGTCTCGGCAGCTCTTGCGAACTAATGTTAACTGTGATGGTGAGGTTTACACCTAAAATATTTTTGGTCGGAATAAAATGCCGCATTAATTAGTCTCGGCATCTAATTCAATGTCGCATGACAAAAACGGTATCGTTGAAAGACAAGCAATGTCGCGGTACTTGAAACGACATTTTTTTTAGTAGAAAACAATGTCGTTAGCGGCTTTGATTGTTGGTGTTGGCGTTGGGGTCGGAAAAGGAGTCCTTTGTATTCATTGTCGGAGAAGGATAATAAACAGCACCGTTTAGTGACAAGCAATGTCGCGGGTAGAATCAAGCGGTTTTGTTTAGCTAAAAACGACACCGCGGATTAGAAAACGATACCGCGAGAAGCCTTGGTAAGCGATGTCGTTTAATTAAAAACATATCGGGTAAGTGATTGGCCCAAAATCCGCCTAGCTCAACACGGCTGCAAAGTCTCGGCGGTTTAAATTGGTATTTTTTTATTATGTTAGGCGGTGTCATTTAGTTAAAAACGATACTGCGAGTAAGCCCAACGGTACCGTTGTACTAGAGAAAACGACAGTGTTTAATATAAAACAATGTCGCGAAGAAAAAGCAAACAGAGCTGTTTGAGGAAGAAAATGACACCGCAAGTAAGCCCAACAACGCTGCGGTACGCGAAATATTAAAGTAATGTGGCGGCGCAAGACTAAAAACGACCCGAGTTAAACAACATTGCAATGGAGATCGATGTCGGCGTCGCAAATTCAGCGGTGTTGCGAGTTCGACAACACCGAGAAATTCAACGATGCCGCAAGGCCAAAACAACATCGCGGAGCTCAACGATGTCGTGAGTTGGACGATGTTGCAAGTGAGCAATGCTGTGAAGGGGTTCAACAATATCGTTATGGAAACTTTTTTGGTGGAGGCGTAAACGACGTCGCGGGCTATTGAAAATAAAGGAGTTATTTTCTTGCAAGTGGGATTTGGGAGTGAAGACAAGAGATCAAGGTGGT